TCAAATGAAAACTGTATTTTAAAACTCAAATGAATTGAATCATTCATGATTTTGATTCAAAATATTGTTAAAAAATTGAAATGAAGGGCAAACATTTTGTTCAAACGGTGAACATATTAATACAAGCATCAGTGGTTCAGTGGCAGGATTTTCGCCTGCCAAGCACTATACCCGTGTTCGAGTCCCGGCCTATGCAACGCAGAAAGTTTTCTAGAAAAGCGCAAGTTGAAAGTTTGTTGTTTTTACTGTCCACTGTCAAAAAAGAGGAAACCACTGAAATACTCAGCTGAACTCAACCTCAATTAGAACGAAACAAACTTTTCATGATTTTGTTCGAAGTTTCAAAAAAAAAATTGGATTGAAGGGCAAAACTTTGTTCAAACGATTAAAATAGTGTAAATCAAGCATCAGTGGTTCAGTGGTAGAATTGTCGACTGCCACGCGATAGACCCGGGTTCGATTCCCGGCCGATGCATAGCAGAAAAGTTTTCCTAGGAAAGAGCAGTCTTAAACTTTTGTAACTTATTACTGTTCAACTGTCAAAAAAGAAGAAAACTACTCAAATAAATAGCTGAAGTTCAAAACTCAAATGAAATGAATCATTCATGATTTTGATTAAAAAATTTGGTGAAAAATTGAAATGAAGAGCAAAGTTTTTGTTCAAACGATTAAAACAGATAAAAATCAAGCATCGATGGTTCAGCTGTAGCATTGTCGCCTTCCACGCAATAGACCATGGTTCGATTCACGGGCGATGCAAAGCAGAAAAGCAGAAAAATTTTTCTAGAAAAACACAATTTTACGTTTTTTCAATTTTTTACTGTGCCACTGTCAAAAAAGAGAAAATTACTCAAATAATTAGCTGAATTCGAAACCTCAATTGAAATGAAACAAAGTTTTCATGATTTTGTTCGAATTTTCGAAAAAAAAATTGGGTTGAAGAGCAAAACTTTGTTCAAACGATTAAAATAGTGTAAATCAAGCATCGGTGGTTCATTGGTAGAATTGTCGCCAGGCACACGATAGACCAGTGTTCGATTCGCGGGCGATGCATAGCAGAAAAAAATTCCTAAGAAAGAGCAGTCTTAAGCTTTTGTAACTTATTATTGTTCCACTTTCAAAAAAAAAAACTACTCAAATGAATAGCTGAAGTTCAAAACTCAAATGAAATGAATCATTCATGATTTTGATTCGAAAACTTGGTGAAAAATTGAAATGAAGAGCAAAGTTTTTGTTCAAACGATTAAAACAGATAAAAATCAAATATCGGTGGTTCAGTTGTAGCATTGTTGCCTTCCGCACAATAGACCATGGTTCGATTCCCGGGCGATGCAAAGCAGAAAAGCAGAAAAAATTTTCTAGAAAAGCGCAATTTTACGTTTCTTCAATTTTTTATTGTGCCACTGTCAAAAAAGAGGAAAACTACTCAAATAATTAGCTGAATTGGAAGCCTCAATTAAAAGGAAACAAAGTTTTCACAATTTTGATTCAACGCTTTGATGAAAAACTTGGATGATAGAGCAAAACTTTGTTCAAACTATCAAAACAGTTTACATCAAGCATCGATGGTTCAGTCGTAGAATTGGCGCCTGACACGCGATAGACCCGGTTTCCATTCCCGTCCGATGCAAATCTCGAAAGCAGAAAAAATTTGCCGGCAAAGCGCAAACTTAAATTTTTGCAACTTTTTACTGTTCCACTGTCAAAAAAGAGGAAACTACTGAAATATTTAACTGAATTGAATTAGAATTAAACAAATTTTTCATGATTTTGTTCGGAGTTTCGAAGAAAAATTTGGGTTGAAGAGCAAAACTTTGTTCAAACGATTAAAATAGTGTAAATGAAGCATCGGTGGTTCAGTTGTAGCATTGTTGCCTTCCACGCAATAGAACATGGTTCGATTCCCGGGCGATGCAAAGCAGAAAAACAAAAAAAAATTTCTAAAAAAAGCGCAATTTTAGGTTTTTTCAATTTTTTATTGTGCCACAGTCAAAAAAGAGGAAAACTACTCAAATAATTAGCTGAATTGGAAACATCAATTGAAATGAAACAAAGTTTTCATGATTTTGATTCAACGCTTTCATGAAAAACTTGGATGATAGAGCAAAACTTTGCTGGAACGATTAGAGCATTTTAAATCAAGCATCGGTGGTTCAGTGGTAGAATTGTCGCCTCCCACGCGATAGACCCGGTTTCGATTCCCGGCCGATGCAAAGCAGCAAAGCAAAAAATTTTGCCGGAAAAGCGCAAACTTGAATGTTTTCATTTTTCACTGTTTCACTGTCAAAAAAGAGGAAACTATCAAAATATTCAGCTGAGCTCAAAACCTCAATTAGACTGAAACAAAATTTTCATGACTTTGTTCAAAGTTTTGATGAAAAAATTGGATTGAAGAGCAAAACTTTGTTGAAACGATTAAACTAGAGTAAATCAAGCATCGCTGGTTCAGTGGTAGAATTGTCGCCAGCCACGCGATAGACCCGGGTCCGATTTCCGGCCGATACATAGCAGAAAAATTTCCGAGGAAAGAGCAGTCTTAATCTTTTTTAATTTATCACTGTTCCACTGTCAAAAAAGAGGAAATCTGTTCAAATGAAAACTGTATTTTAAAACTCAAATGAATTGAATCGTTCATGATTTTGATTCAAAATATTGTTAAAAAATTGAATTGAAATGCAAAGTTTTTGTTCAAACGGTGAACATATTAATACAAGCATCAGTGGTTCAGTGGCAGGATTGTCGACTGCCAAACAATATACCCGTGTTCGAGTCCCGGCCTATGCACCGCAGAAAGTTTTACTAGAAAAGCGCAAATTTAAAGTTTTTGTAATTTTTACTGTCCACTGTCAAAAAAGAGGAAACTATTGAAATACTCAGCTGAACTCAACCTCAATTAGAATGAAACAACGTTTTTATGATTTTGTTCAAAGTTTTGGAGAAAAAATTGAATTGAAGAGCAAAACTTTGTTCAGACGATTAAAATAGTGTAAATCAAGCATTGGTGGTTCAGTGGTAGAATTGTCGCCTGGCACACGATAGACCAGTGTTCGATTCGCGGGCGATGCATAGCAGAAAAAAATTCCTAAGAAAGAGCAGTCTTAAGATTTTGTAACTTATTATTGTTCCACTTTCAAAAAAAAAATCTACTCAAATGAATAGCTGAAGTTCAAAACTCAAATGAAATGAATCATTCATGATTTTGATTCGAAAACTTGGTGAAAAATTGAAATGAAGAGCAAAGTTTTTGTTCAAACGATTAAAACAGATAAAAATCAAGCATCGGTGGTTCAGTTGTAGCATTGTTGCCTTCCACACAATAGACCATGGTTCGATTCCCTGGCGATGCAAAGCAGAAAAGCAGAAAAAAATTTCTAGAAAAGCGCAATTTTACGTTTCTTCAATTTTTTTTTGTGCCACTGTCAAAAAAGAGGAAAACTACTCAAATAATTAGCTGAATTGGAAACCTCAATTAAAAGGAAACAAAGTTTTCATGATTTTGATTCAACGCTTTGATGAAAAACTTGGATGATAGAGCAAAACTTTGCTGGAACGATTAGAGCATTTTAAATCAAGCATCGGTGGTTCAGTGGTAGAATTGTCGCCAGCCACGCGATAGACCCGGGTCCGATTTCCGGCCGTTACATAGCAGAAAAAATTTCCGAGGAAAGAGCAGTCTTAATCTTTTTTAATTTATCACTATTCCACTGTCAAAAAAGAGGAAATCTGTTCAAATGAAAACTGTATTTTAAAACTCAAATGAATTGAATCGTTCATGATTTTGATTCAAAATATTGTTAAAAAATTGAATTGAAATGCAAAGTTTTTGTTCAAACGGTGAACATATTAATACAAGCATCAGTGGTTCAGTGGCAGGATTGTCGACTGCCAAACAATATACCCGTGTTCGAGTCCCGGCCTATGCACCGCAGAAAGTTTTACTAGAAAAGCGCAAATTTAAAGTTTTTGTAATTTTTACTGTCCACTGTCAAAAAAGAGGAAACTACTGAAATACTCAGCTGAACTCAACCTCAATTAGAATGAAACAACGTTTTTATGATTTTGTTCAAAGTTTCGGAGAAAAAATTGAATTGAAGAGCAAAACTTTGTTCAAACGATTAAAATAGTGTAAATCAAGCATTGGTGGTTCAGTGGTAGAATTGTCGCCTGGCACACGATAGACCAGTGTTCGATTCGCGGTCGATGCATAGCAGAAAAAAATTCCTAAGAAAGAGCAGTCTTAAGATTTTGTAACTTATTATTGTTCCACTTTCAAAAAAGAAAACTACTCAAATGAATAGCTGAAGTTCAAAACTCAAATGAAATGAATCATTCATGATTTTGATTCGAAAACTTGGTGAAAAATTGAAATGAAGAGCAAAGTTTTTGTTCAAACGATTAAAACAGATAAAAATCAAGCATCGGTGGTTCAGTTGTAGCATTGTTGCCTTCCACACAATAGACCATGGTTCGATTCCCTGGCGATGCAAAGCAGAAAAGCAGAAAAAATTTTCTAGAAAATGCAATTTTACGTTTCTTCAATTTTTTTTGTGCCACTGTCAAAAAAGAGGAAAACTACTCAAATAATTAGCTGAATTGGAAACCTCAATTAAAAGGAAACAAAGTTTTCATGATTTTGATTCAACGCCTTGATGAAAAACTTGGATGATAGAGCAAAACTTTGCTGGAACGATTAGAGCATTTAAAATCAAGCATCGGTGGTTCAGTGGTAGAATTGTCGCCTCCCACGCGATAGACCCGGTTTCGATTCCCGGCTGATGCAAAGCAGCAAAGCAAAAAATTTGCCGGAAAAGCGCAAACTTGAATGTTTTCATTTTTTACTGTTTCACTGTCAAAAAAGAGGAAACTATCAAAATATTCAGCTGAGCTCAAAACCTCAATTAGACTGAAACAAATTTTTCATGATTTTGTTAAAAGTTTTGATGAAAAAATTTGATTGAAGAGCAAAACTTTGTTAAAACGATTAAAATAGAGTAAATCAAGCATCGCTGGTTCAGTGGTAGAATTGTCGCCAGCCACGCGACAGACCCGGGTTCAATTCCCGGCCGATGCATAGCAGAAATTATTTCCGTGGAAAGAGCAGTCTTAAACTTTTGTAACTTGTTACTGTTCCACTGTCAAAAAAGAGGAAAACTACTCAATTGAATAGCTCTATTTTAAAACTCAAATGAATTGAATCTTTCAAAATTTTGATTCAAAATATTGTTAAAAAATTGAATTGAAGGGCAAAGTTTTTGTTCAAAAGGTGAGAAACTTAATTCAAGCATCAGTGGTTAAAAATTAGAATGGAGAGCAAAACTTTGTTCAAACGATTAAAATAGTGTAAATCAAGCATCGCTGGTTCAGTGGTAGAATCGTCGCCTGCCAAGCAATACACCCGTGTTCGAGTCCCGGCCGATGCAGCGCAGAGAGTTTTACTAGAAAAGTGCAAGTTTAATTTTTTGTAATTTTACTGTCCACTGTCAAAAAGAAGAAAAAAATTGAAATATTCAGCTGAATTCAAAACCTCAATTAGAATGAAACAAAGTTTTCATGATTTTGTTTGAAGTTTTGATGAAAAGATTGGATTGAAGAGCAAAAATTGTCTCAAACTATCAAAATAGGTTACGTCAAGCATCGGTGGTTCAGTCGTAGAATTGTCGCCTGCCACGCGATAGACCATGGTTCAATTCCTGGGCGATGCAAAGCATAAAAGCAGAAAAACTTTGCCGGAAAAGCTTAAACTTAAATTTTTGCAATTTTTTACTGTTCCACTGTCATAAAAGAGGAAACTAATGAAATATTCAGCTGAATTCAACCTCAATTAGAATGAAAAAAATTTTTCATGATTTTGTTCAAAGTTCTGAAGAAAAAATTGGATTGAAGAGCAAAACTTTGTTCAAACGATTAAAATAGTGTAAATCAAGCATCGGTGGTTCAGTTGTAGCATTGTCGCCTTCCACGCAATAGATGATGGTTCGTTTCCCGGGCGATGCAAAGCAGAAAAACAGAAAAATTTTTCTAGAAAAGCGCAAACTTAAATTTTTGCAACTTTTTACTGTTCCACTGTCAAAAAAGAGGAAACTACTGAAATATTCAACTGAATTGAACCTCAATTAGAATGAAATAAATTTTTCATGATTTTGTTCAAAGTTTCGAAGAAAAAATTGGATTGAAGATTAAAACTTTATTCAAACGATTAAAATAGTGTAAGTCAACCATCGGTGGTTCAGTTGTAGCATTGTCGCCTTCCACGCAATAGAACATGGTTCGATTCCCGGGCGATGCAAAGCAGCAAAGCAAAAAATTTGCCGGAAAAGCGCAAACTTGAATGTTTTCATTTTTTACTGTTTCACTGTCAAAAAAGAGGAAACTATCAAAATATTCAGCTGAGCTCAAAACCTCAATTAGACTGAAACAAATTTTTCATGATTTTGTTAAAAGTTTTGATGAAAAAATTTGATTGAAGAGCAAAACTTTGTTAAAACGATTAAAATAGAGTAAATCAAGCATCGCTGGTTCAGTGGTAGAATTGTCGCCAGCCACGCGACAGACCCGGGTTCAATTCCCGGCCGATGCATAGCAGAAATTATTTCCGTGGAAAGAGCAGTCTTAAACTTTTGTAACTTGTTACTGTTCCACTGTCAAAAAAGAGGAAAACTACTCAATTGAATAGCTCTATTTTAAAACTCAAATGAATTGAATCTTTCAAAATTTTGATTCAAAATATTGTTAAAAAATTGAATTGAAGGGCAAAGTTTTTGTTCAAAAGGTGAGAAACTTAATTCAAGCATCAGTGGTTAAAAAATTAGAATGGAGAGCAAAACTTTGTTCAAACGATTAAAATAGTGTAAATCAAGCATCGCTGGTTCAGTGGTAGAATCGTCGCCTGCCAAGCAATACACCCGTGTTCGAGTCCCGGCCGATGCAGCGCAGAGAGTTTTACTAGAAAAGTGCAAGTTTAATTTTTTGTAATTTTACTGTCCACTGTCAAAAAGAAGAAAAAAATTGAAATATTCAGCTGAATTCAAAACCTCAATTAGAATGAAACAAAGTTTTCATGATTTTGTTTGAAGTTTTGATGAAAAGATTGGATTGAAGAGCAAAAATTGTCTCAAACTATCAAAATAGGTTACGTCAAGCATCGGTGGTTCAGTCGTAGAATTGTCGCCTGCCACGCGATAGACCATGGTTCAATTCCTGGGCGATGCAAAGCATAAAAGCAGAAAAACTTTGCCGGAAAAGCTTAAACTTAAATTTTTGCAATTTTTTACTGTTCCACTGTCATAAAAGAGGAAACTAATGAAATATTCAGCTGAATTCAACCTCAATTAGAATGAAAAAAATTTTTCATGATTTTGTTCAAAGTTCTGAAGAAAAAATTGGATTGAAGAGCAAAACTTTGTTCAAACGATTAAAATAGTGTAAATCAAGCATCGGTGGTTCAGTTGTAGCATTGTCGCCTTCCACGCAATAGATGATGGTTCGTTTCCCGGGCGATGCAAAGCAGAAAAACAGAAAAATTTTTCTAGAAAAGCGCAAACTTAAATTTTTGCAACTTTTTACTGTTCCACTGTCAAAAAAGAGGAAACTACTGAAATATTCAACTGAATTGAACCTCAATTAGAATGAAATAAATTTTTCATGATTTTGTTCAAAGTTTCGAAGAAAAAATTGGATTGAAGATTAAAACTTTATTCAAACGATTAAAATAGTGTAAGTCAACCATCGGTGGTTCAGTTGTAGCATTGTCGCCTTCCACGCAATAGAACATGGTTCGATTCCCGGGCGATGCAAAGCAGCAAAGCAAAAAATTTTGCCGGAAAAGCCCAAACTTGAATGTTTTCATTTTTTACTGTTTCACTGTCAAAAAAGAGGAAACTATCAAAATATTCAGCTGAGCTCAAAACCTCAATTAGACTGAAACAAAGTTTTCTTGATTTTTTTCAAAGTTTTGTTGAAAAAATTGGATTGAAGAGCAAAACTTTGTTCAAACAATTAAAATAGTGTAAATCAAGCATCGCTGGTTCAGTGGTAGAATTGTCGCCAGCAACGCGATAGACCCGGGTCCGATTTCCGGCCGATACATAGCAGAAAAAATTTCCGAGGAAAGAACAGTCTTAATCTTTTGTAACTTATCACTGTTCCACTGTCAAAAAAGAGGAAAACTACTCAATTGAATAGCTGGATTTTAAAACTCAAATGAATTGAATCTTTCAAGATTTTGATACAAAAAATTAAGTTTTTGTTCAAACGGTGAGAAACTTAATTCCAGCATCAGTGGTTCAGTGGCAGGATTGTCGCCTGCCAAGCAATATACCCGTGTTCGATTCCCGGACGATGCAGCGCAGAGAGTTTTACTAGAAAAGTGCAAGTTTAATTTTTTGTAAGTTTTACAGTCCACTGTCAAAAAAGAGGAAACTACTGAAATACTCAGCTGACCTCAACCTCAATTAGAACGAAACAAATTTTTCATGATTTTTGTTCGAAGTTTCGAAAAAAAATTGAACTGAAGAGCAAAACTTTGTTCAAACGATTAAAATAGTGTAAAACAAGCATCGGTGGTTAAGTGGTAGAATTGTTGCCTGCCACGCGATAGACCCGGGTTCGATTCCCGGCCGATGCATAGCAGAAAATTTTTCCTAGGAAAGAACAGTCCTAAACTTTTGTAACTTATTACTTTTCAACTGTCAAAAAAGAAGAAAACTACTCGAATAAAAAGCTGAAGTTCAAAACTCAAATGAAATGAATCATTCATGATTTTGATTCAAGAATTTGGTGAAAAATTGAAATGAAGAGCAAAGTTTTTGTTCAAACGATTAAAAGAGATAACAATCAAGCATCGGTGGTTCAGCTGTAGCATTGTTGCCTTCCACGCAATAGACCATGGATCGATTCCCGGGCGATGCAAAGCAGAAAAGCAGAAAAATTTTTCTAGAAAAGCGCAATTTTACGTTTTTTCAATTTTTTACTGTGCCACTGTCAAAAAAGAGAAAAACTACTCAAATAATTAGCTGAATTCGAAACCTCAATTGAAATGAAACAAAGTTTTTATTAATTTGTTTGAAGTTTCGAAAAAAAAATTGGATTGAAGACCAAAACTTTGTTCAAACGTTTAAAATAGTGTAAATCAAGCATCGCTGGTTCAGTGGTAAAATTGTCGCCTGCCAAGCGATAGAACCGGGTTCGATTCACGAACGATGCATAGCAGGAATGATTTCCGTGGAAAGAGCAGTCTTAAACTTTTGTTACTTATTACTGTTCCACTGTCAAAAAAGAGGAAAACTACTCAATTGAATAGCTGGATTTTAAAACTCAAATGAATTGAATCTTTCAAGATTTTGATACAAAAAATTGTTAAAAAATTGAAGGGCAAAGTTTTTGTTCAAACGGTGAGAAACTTAATTCCAGCATCAGTGGTTCAGTGGCAGGATTGTCGCCTGCCAAGCAATATACCCGTGTTCGAGTCCCGGCCGATTCAGCGCAGAGAGTTTTACTAGAAAATTGCAAGTTTAATTTTTTGTAAGTTTTACAGTCCACTGTCAAAAAAGAGGAAACTACTGAAATACTCAGCTGAACTCAACCTCAATTAGAACGAAACAAATTTTTCATGATTTTTGTTCGAAGTTTCGAAAAAAAATTGAATTGAAGAGCAAAATTTTGTTCAAACGATTAAAATAGTGTAAAAGAAGCATCGGTGGTTCAGTGGTAGAATTGTCGCCTGCCACGCGATAGACCCGGGTTCGATTCCCGGCCGATGCATAGCAGAAAAATTTTCCTAGGAAAGAGCAGTCCTAAACTTTTGTAACTTATTACTTTTCAACTGTCAAAAAAGAAGAAAACTACTCGAATAAAAAGCTGAAGTTCAAAACTCAAATGAAATGAATCATTCATGATTTTGATTCAAGAATTTGGTGAAAAATTGAAATGAAGAGCAAAGTTTTTGTTCAAACGATTAAAACAGATAACAATCAAGCATCGGTGGTTCAGCTGTAGCATTGTTGCCTTCCACGCAATAGACCATGGTTCGATTCCCGGGCGATGCAAAGCAGAAAAGCAGAAAAATTTTTCTAG